GGGTCTCCATCATCCTGCTACCCTGTAATCTCCTCACTCCTGCCTCTACTCTCTGCCTTGGTCACACTGCCCTTCCTGACCCTTGAAATGTCAAACACTTACTCTATTGAATCCCCTAGATTCAATAGAATCACGGTGCCTAGAACCGTGCCTAGAACCATGCCTGGTGCCAGAGGCAGTCAATGAATAGCTACTGAATTAATTAATGAGTGGATTTAAATAAAGTTTACTATCTTGCCATCAAAAATGTAGCCTGTATTTATTTGAGAACCTTGAGGAGTATAAAAATGTAGGAAACCTTTACATAATTCCACATTTGAGAGGCAAAACATCATTTACACTCTTTTAAAAATATATATTTCTTCCAAATCTGTTTACTATTTATGGTATTTTGGTTGGTTTGTTTCATATGGTTATATTCACAATATATTTTGTTACAAAACTTGGTCTTTTTACGTGTGCTTGCCTTGCTTTTTCTAACTGTTGTGTCATATTTATTTTTTACTGTTTCTTATTCCAAAAAGGATTTGAGGCCCTATGAGATCTATAAATACAGTATTTCCTAGTATTGCCTGCAGCATGCAAGCTGTGCCTTAATCCTACTGTTTGTGGAGTGAATGAGCGTGTCTAGGGCAACCTGCTTTCCAGTGGGGAGCAGATGCGTGATTGTGTCCAACTCCAGGAAGCAGCCAGGACCTTCCAGTTGTGCCATGGCATAGTGCCTTTGACACTGAGTTCTATCTCTGGCAATTTGTTGTGCCTGTCTGTATTTGCATCTCTTCTCTGGGGAGGAACATGTCTGAAGGCCTGGTCACAAGGAGTGGTGTCCCTCTAGACCTGATGAGACTCATTCCATTCCCCTGATGTGCATTACCAAAAGTGCTATTTGCATGCAAAGAATGCTGAGTCCCAGCCCAACAACTAAAATGTATGGGCACCTCCTTCCCTCCCAACCCCTGGAGGCATACACTCCAGACATGGCCCAAACTGCTATAACCCTCCACCCTACCAAGCTCCAGGATCTTCTGGTTGAGAGTTTACAGAGTGACAGGAGTGGGTTTCTCAGAGGCCAGGGCTCTAAAATAGGGCCTCTAAATTACCGGGACAAATGATATCACCACACTCCCTCTTGGCCACAGAATTGTTATGCAAGTTGCTCTACACACACATACACCTACCTGCCCCTAACCTACACCCACATCAGATCTCACTTGCAAAGTTACTTCCTCCGGGAAGCCTTCCCTGCACCCTGGGTTCCATCACGTGATCTATGACATGGTCTCATAGCAAAGCACTGTATATCCTTCTTTTCTTGCACTCATCACAGTTAGCAGTTATACATTGTTTTTATATGTCTTGTCCCCCCCACCCCACCAAAGACTGTAAGCTCAGTGAGTGTAGAGACCATGTCCACTTTTGTTCACTGTGCCTAGAACATGATGGCACTCAGTAAACATTTTTGAATGAATGAATGAATGATGGATGTTTGGGTTGGGCAGTAAAGAGTACTAGGTAAGAGGGTAAGCATTGGAGACAGATTGTTTGGACTCCCAACTCAGCTGTGTGGCCTTGGATAGTGCCATAACCTCTCTGTGCCACCATTTCCCTATCTGTAAAATGGAACTAATAATACCACCTGTTTCATGGGGTTGTTGTAAAGCTCAAATAAGGGACTCTGTGTAAAGGCTCCAAGCAAAGCCACACTCATAGCAAATCCTCCACATTAGCTATTATCATGACTACTGTCCTACTCTTTGGCCAGTAGAAGTATCGCTATAAGGAATATTCTTTTACATACATCTTGATACACTTTTTATGAAGATTGTAATAGATGAGATTCCTAGAAGTTGAACTGTTGATTTAGAAGGTGAATTTCTTTTTATTTTTGTGTATAGAGTAAGAGACAGATCTAATTTTGCACTTTTCCAAATGGAGAGTCATGGGAGGCCAAAGGCCCTGTATGTTTCAGGGTCAGCAGAAATCAGACATTCAGATGGGATCAGAGACCACCAGCATTAACTTAAGTCAGGTAAAGGATACCTTGATGGACAGTTTTCACTGCTCCCTGTTGTCTCCCTTGTCCCTCTGAGGCTCACTACAGGTTGCAGAGATTAGAATTGGGGAATCTTCTGGTTTTTGGTTTTTTAAAAAGATTTATTTATTTATTCATGAGATACACGAGACCAAGGCAGGGACACAGGCAGAGGGAGAGGCAGGTTCCCTGTGAGGAGCCTGATGTGAGACTGGATCCCAGGACCCAAGGACCATGACCTGAGCCAAAGGCAGACTCTCAACCAAAGGCATCTCCTAGGGGAATCTTCTATATATTCTGTGCTCGAGCTTTCATTCCTGGTACTGTGGGAAGTCATGCCAGTAATACAACAGCTCTCAACCCTGTCCCCCCACGACAATTAACCAGTCTATAATTGCCAATCTAGACTCGTTGTCTAGATGTCTTGTGTCTGGGTTTTTGTCATCAGATCAGCTGTGTTGTAGATCTAGGACTTTTCAATATAACACAAGGGCTTTCCATGCAGTAGAGAGGCTTTCCAGCCCAGTGCCTCTCCAGCAGCAGGACACACCATGGCTTCTCACACTAGCCAGTTATCCCACACCATTTCTTATATAAGGGTCTATTTCCAGACTCTCCATCTAGTTCTGTAGCTGTTCCTTCATTCTATCACCATTGTTCATGTTTCTCAAAAAATCCTTGGATATAGTCTCATCCAAGAAAACTTGAGTATCAAGTTGTCTAAGTTGTGCCCCAACCCTTGCAAAGCATTTGTCTATACACGTGTGCACACACATCTGCTAGTGCATATTCATGTATACACTCTCACACACATGTACATCCATTGGAAATTTCACTGGAATTATGTTGAACCTGCAGAAGAACTTGGAGGGGTTCCATTTGAATACTGAGTCTTCTCGTCCTAGAACATGTGATATTGTTCCTTTTATTCAAGTTTCTTATGTTCTTTAGTAACATTTTATAGTTCCTCTGTATGGGTCTCACACATTTTGTATTCCTTTGTTGCCACTGTCAAGAGGGCCTTATTTATTATATTTCTTCAGTTGGTTCCTCACAGTAAGTGGTGAACTGAGAACTTCTAAGACAGATGGCTAAGCTGATTTCAGTTGCCATGTTACAGGCACAGTGCTAAATCAGACACTGTAAACAGCTCCCAGGCAGGGATTAGAATAAGCCAGGAGTTGTTTATAGGGTGTGGAGTACTCAGTTGGTCAATACCGTCTTTATTTGGTTTGGTTGCCATATAGCATTGACTACTCAAGGGTTCCTCTTTTACCTCATAAATAGTATTGTTGAGTCATCTAGATTGGCTTACAGAATAATTTAAAGTGGCTAAAGGAAGGTGATATTGAAGTATCTTTTCAGCTGATCAACTCTTATCTGTTTCCGAAGGTTTAGTTTTCTCGGAAGTGTCTTCCTTACTGGCGTCTCACCAGCTTTGCAATGGTGATAAGGTTCGCCCAGGGGTTTGCAATTACTCAAAGGAGTTTTTGACCTTAGCGTTCGGTTTCTAAAGTCAAGTTAGGATCCTATACTGCTTCCTTCTTTCCTTCCTTCCTTCTTTCCCTCCCTCCCTTTCTCTTTCTTCCTTCCTTCCTCCCTCCCTCCTTCTTTCCCTTCCTCCTTTTCTCTGTCTTTCTTCCTGTCTTCACTCCTCCATTTTTCTTTCTTTCTTTCTTTCTTTCTTTCTTTCTTTCTTTCTTTCTTTCTCTTTCTTTTTTTCTTTCTTTCTCTTTCTTTCTTTCTTTTCCTTCCTTTCTTCCTTCTCTACCTATTGATACAACACTTTTATTGAGGTGTAATTGACATACTGTGCAATCCACCCAGTTAAAGTGTGCAATTCAATGTTTTTTTTTTTAGTATATTCACAGTTGAGTGACCATCACTGTGATTACTTTTAGAACATTTTCACCATACTAAAAAAAATTCTGTACATAATTAGTAGTCATTTCTATTTCTCTATAATCCTTCTCAGCCCCAGCAACCATAAATTTACTTTGTCTCTCTACATTTTCCTATTGCGCACATTTTGTATAAAAGGAATCATACACTATGTGGTCTTTTGTGAGTAACTTCTTTCACTTCACATGATGCTTTTAAGGTTCATCCTCTATCACTACTTCATTTCTTTTTATTGCCAAATAATATCCCATTGTGTGGATTTGCCACATTTTGTTTACCTATTCATGAGTTCATGGACATCTGGCTTATTTCTATTTTTTGGCTTATGAATAACACTACTATGAATATTCATGTACAAGTTTTTATCTGGATATATGTTTTCATTTTTCTTGCCTATACACCTAGGAGTATAATTGCTGGATCACATATATGATAACTGTTTATCCTTTTAAGGAACCACCAAACTATTTTCAAAAGTAACTGTACCATTTTCATTCCCACTAGCATTGTGTGAGGGTTCCTTGTCAACACTTGTTATTATCTTTATTTATTTATTATTGTCTTTTTTGTTATAGCCATCCTATTGTGGTGGGTAGGAAGCCATATCTCATCGTGGTTTTGATTTGCAATTCCCTGACATTTAAAACTATACTGCTACCTGAATGTGATATTTAAATGTCATCTTTTTTTCTCCCCTTGGAGCTACCCTGACTAGATTTGTGATGAGGTTTCATGCTTATTTTTTCCCTGCAGATTCCAGAAACCTGCACAACTAGACAACATGCCATGTGACCATTGTTATTCTGGCATGAACAGTTGGACTTGAATACAACCTCAACAGGAAAGAAGCATCTAGAATGCATGTGGCTCATGATCAAAAAAGAAAAGTGGTTATTTAGATATCTCAATTAACCATATATCCTTGTTACATATAACACTCAGAACTAAATGAAGAGATGAACTTTTTTCTAGAAGCCCCAATTAATGATTAATTTCTAGTGCCACATATGAAGAAAACAATTTTTTTAAGTTTTTATATATTTATTTGAGAGAGAGAGAGAGAAGGCACAAGCAGGGGGAAGGGGTTGAGGGAGAGAGAGAAGCAGACTCCCCACTGAACAGGGATCCTGATGTGGAGCTTGATCCCAGGACCCTAGGATCATGACCTGAGCGGAAGGCAGATGCTTAACCAACTGAGCCACCCAGGCACCTGAAGAAAAAAAAATTAAGATTTTCTTTATTTTATTAGAGATAGAAAATAGGGGGAGAGGGAAAGAGTCTTAAGCAGACTCCATGCTGAGTGGGGCTCGATCTCAAGACTCTGGGATCATGACCTGGGCTGAAACCATGAGTCCTTAACTCCTCAGAAGCCCCTCCTATGAAGGAAAATTTGATGTCTTATCTGACATGAAAATGCTGCCTTTGGTCTGGAAAGTTCTCACATGCTGGTTGGCCAAGATGGAAGTGTTCATAGTGGATGTTTAGGAGGAAGCATCATCAATAGTTGCTGAGACCACCGGACAGGACCTATAGGACTCGCAGGTCTAAAAGAAGAATCTACAAGGGGAAAAGAAGAGAGAAAACAAATATGAGTTGATATAAGAGAGAGAAATGAGAGGATAAGCTAGTACTTTTGTCAGCGTTGGATGCTCTAAAATCTGAGTTGAAAGAGAACCAGAGAATACATTCACCAGAGTAATTCCTTGCTTGCTGTGTGACAGGTGCAAGGCTAACTGTGTCACACGGATGATTACATTTACTCCTCATGGCCCTCAGCCCCCATTTTACAGGTGAGGAAAATGAGGCCAAGTGAGATTATGTAACTTATCCAAAGTCCATACGTGGTGTGGCATTTGAAACTAAGACTTTCTAGAGCATAACTACTCAGGACTCTGGGAGTTTTTGCAAGGTATTGAATGACAGATTATTCAAGTTTGGGTAGAAATGGAATTTGGGTGGAATTAAGAAGAAAATAGAAGTTTTTTAGTAAACTACCAAGAAAAAGATCCACATTAGGCAAGGCTAGACTCAGGTACCTATATCAAAGAATTAAAACTGGGGATTCTCTTTTAAAAAAACAAAAAATAAACAAAGTAAGTCTTACAAAGAGTTGGATGTCTTTATAATTATATAGGAAATTCAGTTACCTACTTGTGCATGCAGGTATGAAAGTGTGCGTGAGGAGCCCTCTTGCCTCTCCTTTTGTAATCGGATCAATTCTCCCACCTGCAGAGATGATGAAAGACTAGTGATGTTCTGTTTTCCGGGGAGGAGTGAGGCTGATTCTGGAAAGACTAAAAAGAAACAAGTCTTAATTGGTCAACGTTAAAGCTCTAGGAAGGAAGTCAATCTCTCGGATGTTGCTGGGTCTCGTGATTTACCTCCAGCTCATGATACTATCCTGTAAGGTGTGGTGGTGACAAAACTATGACTTGTAGCACCAAAAGGCCATGAAATCCCCCACCCCCCACGCCCATCACCCAGAGAACACAGGGTTTAGCACTTTGGGACCTTGGGAGTTTCCAGAGTAGAGCCGATTGGAGGAACCATTGCTTGTCCTAACAGCCCCTCCCTTAGCCACGCCTTTATGACTGAGACCCCCTGGAGCCAGGGACTGGCTGGGAGAAAGAACAGATTCCTAGACTGCACAGCTTGGGAATAATAAAGATCAAAAGTCTCTGGTGCATCACTCCAACTGTCACATGTTAATTGGGGTTGCTTTGGATTCTGGCCAGGGTTGGAAGATTTGCCCTGTGTTTTTTTTTACAGGCTTTTTGACCATCAGCCTTTGTTTCTTCTGTTGGGATTTGTCTCAGGATAATCCCAAACCATCCACTATGGAGCAATCACGGAGTCAGAGGCGGTCAGAAAGTATAGGCATTTAGAGGTCATGCAGTCATCACCAAGCGTGTTGTTAAAGCTCCCATAGACGGGAAGCTTGGCTTTAAGCACGCTACAGAGCTGGTAAGACGTAGTCACAAGACAAGTGTAGCTGCAGGAGCACACCTTCCTTGCACTACACCATTTTTTTTTTTCTGAGAAGCTCCAGGATTCCTTTGAACATTTATTCAATGTTACATCTTCATTTGGAACTGTGACAGAGATTGGAGGTTGGCGAGGAGGATAGACAGGCCATGCCGATTTATAGCATACCTCCCACCCCACCTCCTCCTGAGGGAAGGTGGCTCAGGGGTCCCCACAACCACCCCCGGGTTTGCTAATTTGTCAGAAGCACTCACAGGCCTCAACCTATAGTTGTATGAATCATGGGAAAGGATACAAAGCAGAATTAACGAAGGGAAAAGGTACTTGGGGCAAATTCCAGAGGAGACCAGAAGCCAGCTCCCAAGAGTCCTCTCCCACCAGCCTTACGCAGGACCTGCTTAATCCCTCCAGCAGCCAGTTGTGACAACTCAGCTCAAACGCTGACTGCAAGGGAAACTCACGGGAGACTCCACATCTAAGATTTGTACTGGAGGCCGGTCAGGGACCTAGTACACACCAAAATCCCAGGCTTGTAGAAGGAAGCCAGGTGTTGAGCACAGACCATGCGGTTGGCACAGAGTCCAGGCACAGCGAGCCCCCTTTGTCATGTCAAGGAAGTTTCCTGTCAGTGCTGGGAACTGGCTGCCAGTCAAGTTCACAGACACCAGCCAAGGGCCAACCTTGCAAAGCGGGTCTTTCTGAGGATAAGCAATCTCGGACCTGCTGTGTCAACACTTCTCTGCTCGGAAAGGAAATCACGTTTCATTCTCGATTCTGTGAGAGCCCAGTGCTGCTGTCAGCAAGGCGACTGTCATCATAGGCGCCAGACTCGCATTTCTAATAGGTGTCCTAGGATGCCTCAAAGCCCGTGTGTCCCAGACTAAGCTCTCATCCCCCACATCCTATGAGTGAACAGCTCCTGCACTCCTCCCTGCACCAAAGTTATCCTTAACTTCCACCTCTCTTCTACCCTCCACAACTAACTAGTTGCCACGTCCTCCCGTTTGTACTGCATATGCGTCCAGCAACTTCTCCTCGTCCCTGTTGCCACTTACTCTAGGGCAGTATTTTCTTTTTTCTTTCTTTCTTTCTTTCTTTCTTTCTTTCTTTCTTTCTTTCTTTCTCCTTCCTTCTTTCTTTCTTTCTTTCTTTCTTTCTTTCTTTCTTTCTTCTTTCTTTCTTTCTTTCTTTCTTTCTTTCTCCTTCCTTCCTTCTTTCTTTCTTTCTTTCTCCTTCTTTCTTTCTTTCTTTCTTTCTTTCTTTCTTTCTTTCTTCTTTCTTTCTTTCTTTCTTTCTTTCTTTCTTTCTTTCTTTCTTTCTTTCTTTCTTTCTTTCTTCTTCTTTCTCCTTCCTTCCTTTCTTTCTTTTTCTTTCTTTCTTTCTTTCTTTCTTTCTTTCTTTCTTTCTTTCTTTCTTTCTTTCTTTCTTTCTTTTCTTTTATTTCTAGGTCTTTCCCTACAATTACTCGCTCTCTCTGTCTTTGTCCCAGCCGCTATCCATAACGTGCTGCTGCCAGGGTTCTCCTCAGCTTTTCTTTTCCTTAAAAACCATTTTTTCCCATTTTTTGTTTGAAGCAGTCTGACTCTCTAAACTGTTTCTTTTACTTGGAAAAGTGACACAGGCACATGATAAAAATTCAAATTAGGAAGGGTATGCAGTTTTCGCAAAGTAAGCTCTCTCACTTGGCATTCCCAGTGTCCTTCCCTGGAGACTGACAGTTTGTTGCATATCCTTCCAGAATGTTCCCTGCCTATACAAGCATGTGTGGACATCCTTAAAACACAGAGGCTTTGTACACTTCCCACATGAGTGAGAGTACACTGTACACACGGTCCATGCTTTGTTCTTTTTACTTCATATGTTACCTTAGAAACTTTTCCTTATGTGATCTTTTGCATTTTTCTCTAGGTTCTAGCATATGAGTATGATTTATGTAACCTGTTCTCTCTTGATGGATATTTCAGTTACTTCTAGGCTCTTGTTATTCTATTTTTTTAAAGATTTTATTTATTTGAGAGAGAGAGCACGCGTGACCACACAAGCAGGGGGAGCCCCAGAAGCAGGCTCCCCAAGTAGCAGGGAGTCCAATGAGGGGCTCGATCCCAGGACCCTGGGATCATGACCTGAGCCAAAGGCAGATGCTTAACTGACTGAGCCACCCAGGTGCCCTAGGCTCTTGCTATTCTAAAGAGCCATCCTTGAAGACACAGATCTAATCTCTGCCCTTCCCTGACTCAGGTCTCCCACATAACTTCCACCGTTTACAGCTTTGCCCCTAACTGGGCCCCAGAGATACAGATAGATCTGCTTGGGGTTTCAAGTAGAAAGGTGATGATGGAACTGGTAAGTGATTACAATTTTTTTATTTAAAAATTTCATATTAAGACAACAATTCTATCATGGCATAAAATGTGGAATCCTCATTAATTTTGCAGATGGTGGTGGAGGCTTCTTTAAGCGACGCCCCCAGAGCCCCCATGGCACGTGTTCTCCTTTCTTCCTTAGAGGTCATTAGCAGAATGGTCTAGAACCCAAGTCCACAGGATACAGTCAGAACTTTTTGGCCCAGGTGTGCCTGCTATTTATCCCCTTGTGTTCTGTGTTTCATACATACAGAACTACTTACCATTCCCTATTCCCTTTGCAGGGAAGGTTTCTGTCCTTTCCATCTGGTATACTGCTCTTCCCTAGAGAAGCAGTGTAACCTGGTGCTGAAAAGCATGTACTCTAGAGCCAGGCCACCCACCTATGCCACTTTTCTAGTTGTGTGATCTTGGGCAAGTTACTTAACCTCTCTGAGCTTCACTGAACGGATTTGTAAAAGGCAAGTACTCAAAGTACCCAGTAAAATTGTTGTGAGGTTTAAGTGGGTTCATATACATAAAGTGCTTACTTAGAACAGCACTTGGTACATAGTAAACACTATATAAAGGTACTACTATTCATGTTATCGTTATTTTTATTATTCAAGATCCAGTTTCCATGATTCTTCTGGGTTCCTTCTTTGAAGGTATTTGCAAGTTACTTACTCTTCCATTTAGGCAATGCTCTCATGGAGAGATGGGACCCTGCCTTATTTATCTTGACAACCCCTCTTTGATACACGGTAGATAATTTGTTGATGTTGTATAGATATTCACTAAATGAGATCATAATTATAACAGTAATGGCCTGAATTCTTACATCTGCTCTCATTTCCTTGTCCTGCCAATTTGTTTATGCAGCAACTGATGATTTTTTTTGTCCTAGGAGGGCTTTTCACATCCTCAGTAGGGTTCATAAGTGAAAACTTCACTGCAAAAACCATTTACATTAAACCAGTGTTTCTCCAACCACATTTATGCTCATAGTTATTCTCCAAAAAACAAATTCCAGAAATAAATTGTTTGGGAAACACTCACACAAAATTGACCAGATACCATTACCATCTTCTCAAATCTTTTACTAGGCTAATTTAAGCGTGGAGGGAGAGAATGTGCAATAAAATTAGCAAATTTCTTTTTTTTCCCCAAAGATTTTATCTATTTATTCATGAGAGACACAGAGAGAGAGACAGAGACATAGGCAGAGAGAGAAGCAGGCTCCCTGTGGGGATCCTGATGCGGAACTCGATCCCAGGACCCCGGGATCACGACCTTAGCCACCCAGGCACCCCAAATTAGCAAATTTCTTAACTCTTTCTGACTAGAGGGCCTTTTTCTCAGAACCTTATCAAGAGCTAGTGGGACTAGTTCTATGGAATGTGGTTGATGAAAAACTGTACTAACTTATACCCATTCTCTCTGCATGCAGACTAGTCTGGGGCTTGGGGGCTGCGATTATGGGGCCATTTAACTGCCATATGTGGACCCTAGGCCTGTAGAGCATCTGTACCTCTCTCCTAGAACGTTTAGCAAAGAGTAACTGTGGCAGCTCATTTCTCCATTCGGGACAGATTTACAGAGCTTCTGCTGCATGCCCTGACTTTGAAGGAAACAGGACTCTTGCCACCAGAGAACCATCTGGGGGCTGAGCCCAGAGACCTGGTATGAAGATGGGGGCAGAGCGAGGCCCTCTACTGGCCACACTGGGAGCTCAGACGAGGAAACGAGTGTCTCTGGTCCAGACCTCTCAAGGTATAGGGCGAGAGAGGGGGAGATTGAAGTCTAGGGGGAGGTAATAGAAAACATTCTTTTGTGTTCAAACAGCTAGTTGGAAACAGCCTAGAAGCAGTATTTTTCCACTGCATCTCACTGCCTCTGAAGTTCAAGTGCCTGAATCAGAGAAGCATGCACAAGGATGAGAGTGGCCTGGGAAGAATTTATTTCATGTAGTTTGCCCGGAGGTTCTTAAACTTGTTGAGGGCCATCACAGGTTGGATATCTTTCCCACTTCCATTTACCTATACATGATCCCAGATCATATTTATTTGTCCATGGGTATTTGACTTTTATTTTATTTTTTTTAATTTTTTTTAATTATTTATTTATGATAGTCATACAGAGAGAGAGAGAGAGAGAGAGAGAGAGGCAGAGACAAGGCAGAGACATAGGCAGAGGGAGAAGCAGGCTCCATGCACCGGGAGCCTGACGTGGCATTCGATCCCGGGTCTCCAGGATCGCAGCCAAACCGCTGCGCCACCCAGGGATCCCGGTATTTGACTTTTAAACAGCACAGGCTTCAAATGCATGAGGCTGCTTCTATGTGGATTTTTCCCCCAGTAAAATAGTACCGCACTGAAAATGTATTTTCTCTGCCTTATGATTTTAGGGACATCGCATTTTCTCTAGCCTACTTTTTCGTGAGAATATAGTACATAATACGAACAGCATACAACATAGGCACCAAGTAACTTTTTATGTTATCGGTAAGGCTTCTAGTCGTCAGCAGGCTATTAGTAAATTTTTTGAGGAGTCCAGAGTTCTATATTGCAGATTTTTGACTGCACACAGGGCAGCACCCCTCCCCTCTGCATCATTCAAGGATCAACTGTATATTTACCTTCTTACTGCTTTCATCTTCGAGCATTCTCAGTGAAGATGTTTGTGGCCTGACGTGTACTGCCATCAAAGCAGGGTGCTTGGAGCAGCCAGAGGGCCCTAGCTGCGGTTTGCCAGCCTGAAAACTGGCTGTGGAAGAAAGTGGCCTAGTAAGGGTAGTGCCAGCAGAATGGGAGTGAGTTTGCGGTACTGTGGTTCCTGATGTTCCACATAAACACTAAGCAAACAGGAATGTAACACGCGCACTGCTGATTAGAATGAATAGGCCACCCACTGTTGCCCAGGGCTCCTTACCAGCCACCAAGCCTGCTCAACCAGGGCTCACGGCACGCTCACTGAGGCACTTGGTGTTTAGTGCCAAGAATTAACACCAACTCTGCAAGATCTCCCTTCCCTCAACACCTCCTCTTGGCCTTCTGAATGAGGTCTGCACATACACTAGGAGCCCCACGGGGGTTCTCTCACCCCGGCCAAGCTGCCTTTCTATCACTCTTCTGACTTCCCTCTGTCCTTGCTCCCACTCTGCTGAGTACATGCCCCATCTTTCCCCATCCTGAAGTGTCAGCCTACACTGGTCTTGCCCGCTGTGTCTGCTTGGTAAAATCTGATGGCTTCTGCAAGGCCTGTGAACCTGTGAGGTTTGGGTTCAACTGCTCCCTTCCCATCTAGGAGAAGTTCTGCTCCACTAGCTGAATTAAATGGGATTCATCTCATGCAACGAGAAGTTCAGGAGCAGGCCCTTTATGGCTGGTATGGATGCTCCATCCTGGGCTCCTTTCAGAAACCAGCTCTCTCTGTCAACCCTTTTCCACCTGCTGTCATGAGAGCAGCTATAATCTGAGCACTTCCTAAATTCTAGGCAGGAAGAAAGAAGAGGTAGAAGCTGCCGTCAAAGGAACCTGTTTCTGTCTCCTTGACTGGAAAGGAGTCACCTAGCCACCCCCAACTGCAAGGGAGTCAGGGAAGCTCTTTAGCTCTCTAGCCTCCAAGGGCCAACTAGAAGGAAGTTTGAATGGGCTGTCAAGTGATTTAACCTGTTTTAAGTATTACCTCCTCCCTGAAGCCTTTTTCAAGCATCTTAAACTTCCTGTGCTTTTATCTAGCAGGTGTGAACCTTTTTAGAGCCCTCATATTTTGCTTCGTGTTAGGTACTTGCTTAACTTTTCTTCTGGTTGATAAGCTTAAGGATGACAAACACACCCTTCACATCCTGGTCCCCCTTGTAGCTGCTTTTGGATCGATTCATGATTTCTGCCTCTTTTTCTTGTGTCCTTCCTCCTTCTCCCCCTTTCCTGAAATGCACATTAAATAGTCCACCAACGTGTGTTGATTGAAACTGAGTTGAGGGGATCCCTGGGTGGCGCAGCGGTTTGGCGCCTGCCTTTGGCCCAGGGCGCGATCCTGGAGACCCGGGATCAAGTCCCACGTCGGGCTCCCGGTGCATGGAGCCTGCTTCTCCCTCTGCCTATGTCTCTGCCTCTCTCTCTCTCTCTCTCTCTCTGTCTGTGTGTGTGTGACTATCATAAAAAAAAGAAAGAAAGGAAAGAAAGAAAGAAAGAAAGAAAGAAAGAAAGAAGAAGAAAGAAAGAAAGAAAGAAAGAAAGAAAGAAAGAAAGAAAGAAAGAAAGAAAGAAAGAAAAAGAAAGAAACTGAGTTGAATTGGGGATGCCTGGGTGGCTCACTTGGTTAGGCGTCTGACTCCTGGTTTGGGCTCAGGTCATGACCTCAGGGTCATGGAATCAAGCCACACGTTTGGTTCTGTGCTCAGCGTGGAGTCCTCTTGGGATTCTCTCTCCCTTCCCCTCTGCTCCTCCCCACCACACGTGCATGCTCATGTTCACACTCTCTCTCTCAAATAAATAAATAAAATCTTGAAAAAAAATAAACTGAGTTGAGTTAGAAGGGAGAATAGTGGTGTGGTTATTGGAAAGGTGTTGGATGTGGGTGTTGGATTAGGTGGCCTGAATTTGAATCTTGCTTTAACTGCCTGATTTTGTATGAGTTGCAAGGCTTTCTTCACCCTAGTTTCCTCATCTGCAAGATTAAGGGATTAATTTAGATGGTCTCAAAGGTTTTTTTCTAGCTTTAAGAACTCAAGGACTCAAGGATGGACTTGATTAGCTGCCCGAGGGCACTGCAAGGAGCCCATCCAGGCCCAGTGAGAGCCAATAGAACAGGGAGCACAGAAGCCCAGCACCTCTCACTCAATGAACAGTGTGTGGTTACAGGCCAAGCCCAAGGGGCCAGATGGTGAAGGGCAACATGTAAAAAAGATCTGGCTTAAGAAGCTGGAAGAGGTCAGTGAGGAGCAATCTGGGGAGACCATGTCTCAGGAAGCTGGAAATTCCAATCCCCAAATCTTGCAGCCCTCTAAATCTCAAGTCCTGATGACAAGAAGAGGGCTCTCATGAAGACCTCCTTTGGGTTTGGGGAAAGTAGAGAGTCTCATGTCTGGCATCTTCTGTCACATGGAATGGTGATGGGTCGGTCACCAGTGTGTCTGTCTACAATTCCCACATGGAATGGGGAAGCAAGACTTATAGGCTAGAGACCCAGGTCTACCCTTGTGTTTCACTGAACAAGTATATTGTCCTCTCTGGGCTTTAGAGCCTATCTATGGAAGCTAGATAGGCACTGGCATACATCACTAATTTTTAGATCGTTAGGACTAGAACAAAAACAGATTAAAAGCTCGAATAGGTTTCTCAAGCAGCAAGCCATTCCTCTTGGCAAGAAACACTTCATGACTTGTGGAGGCCTTGAAGCATCTCTGAAGACTCCTGTGGATGCAGGGAAAATCATGAGACTAGGTAACCCTTGAGCTCCTTCCCAGCTCACTGACCATGTGTCTTTTTCTGATGATGGTGACATCTCCCCCAACCCCTCCCCCCACATTTTCCATCTACTATAGTTTGACCCCACCTGGTATTTTTTTTTTATAAAGAATGGAGATTTCATTTTATTTTTTTAAAAAGACTTTTATCTATTTATTCATGAGAGACACAGAGAGGCAGAGACATAGGCAGAGGGAAAGGCAAGCTCCTTGTGGGAAGCCTGATGCAGGATTCGATCCCAAGACCCCAGGATCACGCCCTGAGCCAAAGACAGACGCTCAACCCACTGAGCCACCTAGGTGGCCCCCAATTGGTATTTTTACAAAGAGATAATTGAGTTAAGAAGGTATCATCATGATGCGTGATTTCGGGCTGACTGGTTCCACCTCTACTCTTTGCTTGTGCCTGTCCAGTCCTTGTCCTCCTCATCAAAGTTTTTATTTGTCCTTCTCCACCCCAATCATCCCTTTGTCATTACCACAGACACTCACTCATGAGAAGCAGTGATAAATCCTGCTGTTCCTACCATTGTCTCCTCTGTATGGTGACTCACAGGGAGGCAGCAAAGCCGATGCTAGAAAGAAATCCTGCACCTGGGTGAGACTGTCGATTCTAGTCGATGCCTCATCCCAGAGCTGGAAATTGCTGACTCGAAGGTCTTATTTTTGTTGTCTCTCAGGGGAAAGACCTTTTGAGGTTGGTTTCATAAGGGACCTCCCAGACCAGTTTCACTAGGGTTCTCCAAGCTGAAATTTGTCATTCTTCTTTCTCCTATTTCACCTTGCTAATAATAACAGTGACAATGACATGGATACTCAACTTTTATTGTTTGCAGTGTCTATTAGGTGCCTGGGCTAGAGACTCAACATCCCTCATCTTTAGTCCTCATATCTTTATAAAGTAGTGATTAGTTGCCCACTTTGCAGATGAGTAAATCTCGTGGAAATTAAGTCATTTGTTCAAAGTAGCCGGGCTAGTAAGAAGCAGAGCCTAGATTCAAACTCAAGTCCATCTATTCCAATACTCACGTTCTGTCCACCTCCTTATAAAGAGACAGCATGCCATTTCTGGGTATCAAAGCTTTGTGACAATTTTGATAAGCAAGAGGGAAAAAGGGAATGAGCAGAGAAAAAGCTTATAATGTTGAAACTATTATGATGTTACTTGGAAATTGAGAACAGACTGTAAAGTCAAATCTCATTTCTGAGGAGAAACCACAGATCGACACAGGTACAAGCACGTGACTTTGTGTAAGTCTTTTGAGCCCTCTGCCCTGCAAGTCCCTATCTGTGAATGGAAGCATCAGGCTCCCTGTAAGCAGATCATCTGCCTACTTGGAAAATGCAGTCATCTTCTCAAAGATTTGTAAAAATGAATATAAAGCTGATGATGCATAATTATTATTAGCTCTAATAATAGTTTAGATCTACAAAGTGCTTCGCCATTTATAAAGTTCACTTCCATCCATTAGCTCATTTAATCCTCCAGACAGCCCCATGAGGCAGGTGTTGTCAGGCTAGCACTTTTAGCTAACAATAGATCGATGACTTCTTGATTGAACCCCTTCTTTGTGCCAAGGTATTCTTGGATCTGGGTGGCATTCAGAGGTGACTAAAATAGAGATTGCACATGGTTTTTATCATGTTTTATTTTCATTAACTTCCCACAACACATTTATCCTGAGATGAGATCATCCCCTCCCCCACTCAAAAAATGACAAGAAAGCGAAAAATTCAGACCATGCCCCTTTAAAGTACATCAAAGTCCAGGAGCAAAGACAAGTGTGCATAGTATACCAACATACACTACAGGAAAGTTTTATCGAAAAAGTATGAACATATGGCACAGGTTTGATTCCAGGAGCAGGAGGCTTTAAACGCTCTGTAAGAGACACCTGGGTGGCTCAGTGGTTGAGCGTCTGCTTTTGGCTCAGGGCGTGATCCCGGAGTCCCAGAATCGAGTCCCACATTGGGCTCCCTGCAGGGAGTCTGCTTCTCCCTCTGCCTGTGTCTCTGCCTCTCTCTCTGTGTCTCTGATGAATAAATAAATAAAATCTTAAAAAAAATAAACACTCTGTGTGAGTTAGGAGCAATAATAATCCTTATCCTGGCTGCCTCACAGAGTGGTTACGGAAGTTCAGCACACTTCACGGAAGCTCTCAGATCCTGTATGTCCGGTAAAAAATGATCATTTCCACCCATGTTTCCCAGGTAGAGTTGAGAGTGCTGGTCATTCTATTCCCCTGGGCTGGGGGTCAGCT